AGTTCAACATAAAGTGTACCATTTAAAATAAAATAAAAAAGTGCCAGTGATTGACCTCAATCCCTCCTATTCTTCCAATATCCTGATGAAAAATAAAATCTCTCTGTTGCATAGGCCACTGTTTGATCAACGCGAATTGGGTGTGGGTCCTTGTACTCCGAGTCGGGCTAACGTCCACGCTAGCTTCCACGCTAGCTGCTATATGTTTTGCATTGAGTTGATACTTGAGGCTTGATGTGCTGCGGTGATATGCAAATTCCTTTTTGCATAATTAGCAAACAACCATGCTCTTATTGACGCTTCCATCCGTCCGTTTTTTTAAAACAAAATGTCCCATCCACAGGGCCAACCAAAGCGGTCTCATCAGCTTCTTCGTTCATGTTTGACTATTGTTCACTGTGGTTTGTTGTTGTCTGAAGTCATGAACGTTAGTTGGTGCTCCAGTATAATCGGTACCCCTGAAACTCATCCAGTGAGAAACGTTCCGCGGTGCAAAAATAAGTGCGATTAAAATGCGTTAATTTTTTTAACGCGTTAATTTTTGTGTAATTAATTCATCTTAATTAACGCGTTAAAGTCCCGGCCCTACAAATTACCCTTTTAAACTTTATTCTTTTTTTTTTACTGTCATATAGTATTTCATACCTGTTTTTCATTTATTCTCTTATTTTTTTATAACTATAATGGTCATATAAACGTTTGCCTCAGAAATAATTGTTTACATTAATGGTGACCAAAACGTTTGAGACCCACTGAGATAACACTGAGAGTCCTTTAGCTCACTGAGCCTCTCAGTCTGACAGGAGAGGACTCTCCTCCACTTTGTTGTTGAAAAAACTCCTTATATCCGTTAGCGTAGCTCGCTAGCACCAGAAGCTAACGGCAACGATCTCAGGTACCGGTGCGCTCTCTCTCTCTCGCGCACACGCACACAAAATGGCTCGTTTCACACACACACAGAGCCGAGCTTTAATGAAACACAGAGACCCAGACGTAATAGTACTGTACTGCATCATATTATTTTCGAATCAATAATCTTTCAAATTATGATTTTTTATTTTTTTCATCTTTTAAAAAAAAAATGTATAACCATTTTTCCTCCTGGTCTCTCGCGCTCCCTGTCATGCCTCTGCGCCCCACACGTTGGGAACCACTATGCTAGAGACAGTGACTACATGTTTTCTGCCATGGGTGATGACACATGTTGTTCTCCTCTCCTGCGAGAATCAGTTGAGCGTCTGCCCAGTAGCAAAGGGCAGCATACTTCATTTGTTGCACTCTATCACTGTGAGAGAATAAGCAGGGCGTGTCGTGTGCAGTGTTAGTGCTACAGTAGAGAAAATAAAATGGAATAACTGACAATGTCTCGCTGTTGTTAAGCACTGATCCTGCGTTTATGTGGTTTAGTGGGTAAAACCAGACCTGAAGTCGGGGGGGAGGGTCTGAGCCCCCACTCCAGCCTCACTGGCGGTCTGGGCCCGCAGCTCCTCTGCAGTCAGCAGGCAGTGGAGGCGGTACAGGATGCTGGGCAGGCACACAGCTTTCCTCCACAGAGAGGCGGGGATGGGGTGGATGGCACACAGCTCTGGAACCAGGATCTGACAGACACAATGCAATGTTACACTGCTGCAGCTGTGGAAGCTCATGTCTAATATTTAAGAATTATACCAGGACGTCATTGGCTTCTAGATGGTTTTCATTGCAGTTCAATACGAATCATGATCAATCCATAATAGCGTTTGTTCAAAAATGTCAATGGATACAACATGTAATAAATAGTAAATCTTTGAAATCAAGCACTCTGAGACAATGGTCTTACTTCATCACCAGCAGTCAAACATTTTTAAACTGTGCAGTTACGCATTCATATATTATTATTACTACCATTTTTGGTACGAGAGCCGGACTCCTGTTCCTGGACCTGCCTGGTGGCATCACTGAAATGAATGGGGGGGGCTCTGTTTTATTACCTGTTTGTTCTGCAGACTCTCCCACTTGGCCTTCCTCTTCTCTGCGCTGCTGAGCGGCAGAGCTTTGCCTTTCTGGTTCAGGTGCCGAGGGGTTAACAGGTTCAGTCTGAGAGCAGAGGGAACAAGATACTTTTTACCTGTCCAAATAATGGTCATGGACAAGGTGCAGTCATTACACTGGGACTTGATATCACTTTGCTTTCAAATGTGACCTTTGCTAAATCGAAATATTGTGTCAAAATATTCTGAAAATCTCTAACAGAGAACTGTACAGTTCATTGGACATTTATACAAAAAAAGTGAGCTTTTTGTATTACTTGCATTCTGACCATAATCACCCACAATACACTGGACTGGATCAGTTCAGTTCTGGTGTTAAGATAGTAGAAGGTAATGTTTCCAGAAGCAGATCTCTGTAAGAACACTACTTTCTAACTTTACAACCCCACATACTTTACTTTTTAATCTTGACCACTTTAGTCCCGACCAAAGCTGCCTCAAGTGACATCATTTGAGGCAATTTCTCATACTCAACACATCTTTCTCTGGGCCCAAAAGGCGCTATACTACTTTTCTACGGGGTGTCCAAACATTTTTCAATGAGGGCCACATACAGACGAATATATGAAGGGCTGGGCATCTCACTAGAGGTTTGAAAAGTGGGCTTATTAACACAGGAATACTGTGTAACATATTTTCATATATTTAAGATGTATAATATAGTCAAGCACAAGTTCCATGTGTGGGCCAAATTCCATTATACTTTTAGAATTTGCTGTGGGCCATTGGCACCCCGGGCACCCCTGTTGTACTACTTCAAATTCATTTAATTACAAATCTCAAACATCTTGAAGCGCACTTGGATGTGAAAAATGTGTGTTCTCCATTGAGACCCTTTGTTAAACCTGTTCTCTTGCACAGACTCAGGACAAAACTATGAGAATTAACCTTGATCTTTTGAAAATTCCTATCAGTTAAAATAGCAAATAGAGCAAACTAATGAGAGTGGAGAGCCTGTGCTGCTACCTGGAGGAGGTGTGGTCCACATCAAGGAGCGGCTGGTTCAGATTGGACAGGTCCAGGTTGTACTTGGTTTTGTAGTACTCAGCAAACGTCTCGTACTCTGGAGAGGGAAACTTGCTGAGCGGCGTCAGGTCTGTGTACACGTCGGCGACATAGAAGCGATGCGGTTGGTCAAAGTTACGATACCTGTGGGGGGGAGCAGGTAGAGTCATTGTGGCGCTCAGACATCGCAAGCATAGTAAAAGTGGTTTGAAGGTTCACATGGCGCAGTGGTACCGTGGAATGATGACAGCATCCTGGTAGTCCTCCAGCTTGAAGCTGAAGGGGTTCTGCTTGGTGTACTGAGTGGTAGGAATGCCGGTGCGGGCCTCAGACTTTTCAATGTCCTCCATGAAGGAAAAGTCCATGTCTAGTGTGTTGGAGTCCTCAACTGAATGAGCAGCAGAGAGAGAGGATGGTTTAAGGCAGAGGTCGGCAACCCGCGGCTCTCGAGCCGCATGCGGCTCTTTAAGCCCTCTGCTCTGGCTCCCTTGAGCTTAAACAAAAATAAGAAGGAAATAAAATACAAGTATTTGTAGGACTATTTATATTTTGCTGCATGGTTGAAAATGTTTGGTATCTTGTATTTTGAGGTGATACTGTGACACATAAATAAAAAACAAAACGGTTTTAATTAGGTCAACTAAAATATGCGTCACATCCTGCTACGGTCCCGCGCCAGCGCCTTTTCCTGAAGGTGAATAACCTGACCCCCGGCTCGATGAGCGAACTATGGATAAATCAAAGAAAATAAAAGTATGGGAGGAACACAGGATTTAATTCTGCGTGGTTAGAGTTATATGCTTTCACAGCAAACGATGCTGGCTTACCGATGGGCTTGATATGTAGAGAGACGTTGTCGAAGGTGCTGCAGCCTTTACGTATTGGAGGAAACACACGGAAGAGGAAGACAGCTGACGATCTTCAGTCATCATTCAATAACTTAACTCTTTTTAGGGTGCAGCTAAAGGTTTTATTTATTTCAAAGTGGGCCCATTTGAATTATATTCATTTTCTTCAAATGTGCAGAGGACTCCCAAGTGCTGTGCTGATTTATTTTAAAGTA